TCAGGTGTGTTAACCCAGAGTGATATCTAAAACCTGCAGGACACCGGCCCTTAAGGCCTGGAGTTGGATACCCCTGCCTTATGTGAACAGCTGAGACAGGCTTTTTGAAAAACACAGCATCTCTGTCACTTTCCAAAGCATACTACGCCAAAGAATGGTCCACTCCAAGGACCCCAGGTCTCTCGGAGTAAACAGAATAATATAGTGTACGTCATTAAGTGCCAGGAGGACTGCTGTTTATCATGCATCAGGGAAACCAAACAACCTCTCGCTAAACACACAGAAGACATGCTTCCTTGGGGTGGGACTCTGCAGTCTATTGAACCTGCAGGCCAGTGGCCAATCTTTCAATTATGAGGAAGTGCACATCCTGGGCAGGGAGCAACACTGGTTAGAGCGAGGAGTCAAGGAAGGCGAACAACCATAGTACATCTGTCACCTTCTTACAGTGCCGTGATTGCAGCCACTCCCAAGCTCACTGTAAGTCGTACTGATTAATGTTCATTATGACTAGTTTACTGCATAAACCTTCAGAAAAACGAAAATAAAATTGAAAATAAAATACTTATCAGCAAAAGGCCCCAGATTTAAGAGGTTAAATGCCTCTGAGCTGAACTGCATTCATATTATGTAAACTGAGCAAGTCCCATTTGTCCGCTAAGGCAGTTATGCCATTAAATCGAAGTGAGTTTTTCATCTGCTCCAATACAGAAATTATATTATACAATTAAATTATGCCTAACGAAGACATCATCATACATCTGGCTAACAGAGTTACACTTTTGGTTTCTCATATTACTCTAGCCTGGATCTGGCAAATGTAAATGACTGTACAAATATGAATAAATACAGCAGTTAATCTATTAAAGTGTGCTGCAGTTCACTGACCACACACAGTCCACTGTGGAGAGCACGAGCTTGTTGTGTCCGAGGCCGCTGTAAAACTTGTCGGAGCCTTTTTTCAGAAAATGAACCGCCATCTCAACTCCCTCTGAGCCAAACAGTTCCTATGAAACAGAACAGGCAGCAAACAAACACAGACTCACCAGATATCCAACTAGCCAGTTCAATGCGCTTGTATTAAGTTAGCAATATGAGCTTTACCTTTCTGTGCATGTCGGTCTCACATAGCGTTGAAAGGATCACCTGAATATCCGACTTTATCTCCAGAGCGACGACATCATCTTCATCAGGACCCGCGTCTATCTGCATGAGAATCCCTGAGGAAACACGACAGCTTTGACTCTACTGAATTCATCGACAGTAAATGTTGATATTGAGCATGTGTCATGTGTCCAGTCCAGTCACCCAGAAGCTGGTTGATGATTCCCTGATCACAGAGGTCCTGGTTTACAGACTCTTCACCCAGAGAAGTCACCGATCTCAGCACTCTGATACAGTGCCGCGTCTGTGCCTTCTTACCGCCTCTGCCTCCGGTGGCGTGGAAGCTGTGACCCTGGCCAAAGTAAGAATCTGAAATAAAGGAGAGAATATAGTTACTGACTGATTGTTCAGTTTGTGAAAAAGTTTGCGAACCCTTTAAGATTTTGTATATTTCTGCATAGATATTATCTAAAATATAACAAGTGTTTTACCCATTTCCTAAATACAGATAAAGAAAACCTGATTAAAAATTCAAATGAAAATGTTTCATTGGACTTTATTTAATGAGGTGTGTATTACATGGATTACATACTTCATTAAAAGTCAAAAGCATGTGAGAGGAGTTGAAATGTGTATTATTTAAGAGCTATTTTTGGTTAGATTTGGGGGTGTGATTATGAGGTATTTTGTAAGCTGTGAAACTAGTTAAACTATCAGTTGCATTAAAAAATAACCTTTAAGAGATAAAAGAAGCTGAAGAGTATGATAAAAAGTAAGAGATAAAAGCTGTTTAAATGTCTGTTGCGTAGCAAATCATGGTGATGACAAAAAGTGAGTGTATAAGTGACTTGGTTTGGCTCAAATACACTCTGATAGGACACTGCAATTCCCTTGAGCTTTAACCTTTCAGATACAGTACAGATTCTGCTTGGTCTTGTTTTTCTTGTGTTTCCTAACCTGGCCCAACACACCAGTCCAGCAGGAGTAGCAGACAGGTACTCCCCTCACAGGAAATGTACTCCTCCAACATGAGCGGCCCGATGGTGGCGAGAGTGGCCAGCGCCTGCAGCTGGAGCTCCTCCTTCTGCGCAGCGGACCAGTGTCGTGACCCCGACTGACACTCAGACGAGGAGGCGACAGGCGGCTTCATGAGCGCCAGCAGAGCCAGAACAACACGTTCTTCTTTATAAAGCTGAGAGAAGAAAACTGAGTCATCCCACAGGTTATCCAAACTTAAACAATGACTGGGTGGGCGTGTGATTGACCTGCAGGGCAGCCAAGTCCCTCGACATAACAACCAGCAGATTCAGCAGCAACTTCTTCATTTTCAAGTCTTCGTTACTATAGCTGAGCTTCAGGTTGCGGATCAAAGGGTTGTGACTTTTCACTAAAACATAAATAAAATAAGCAGTTATATTTTCATAAAAGATGCTACTGTATTCATGAATAATGAAGTCATTTGAAAAAAAGTGTGTAACATTTAAAGGATCGAGTGCCCTCACGCTCTGGAAATGTGCTGAAAACCACAAGCTGTTTGGCAAATGAACTCTCCTGAAAATTAGAAACACCTCAAATTATTAAAAAAAATTCATAAAAACACCTGGCGGGTGAAAAAAAGTAACAAATTACTATTTATTAAACTGTATTGTACTCACAATAAGCTGTGAGCCTGGACTTTCTGCAATGAGAGTTGTGATCACGAGCAGATCGTTTCTGAGTTGGAGGTCTGAATGTCCAGAGCCGGTGTTCAGCAGGTGAAAAAATGCTTCTTTCAGAGAGCTGAGGAAGAAATAAAGCCAAAAGTCAGCTATCAAAGGATAAATGACAGCACAAAGGCCTGCCACATAAGGAACACACAACCAACAGAAATCAGACGAATTACAAATAATTAAACTTTTCCATTAAAAATGATGGTTTGGCTAAAATCAGAGTATAAGTGTAAGAAATGTAAAATCATTACACATAACAAAAGAATGATGTATTTGTTATGTTTATTTCATTGTAGTTCTGTATTTCTTCCCTAGTCTTTTAAAGGTGTGTTGATTGTTCGAGGCATTTAATAGATTAGAAAAACATTGTACTTAAAATCTTGAAATTTTTGTGAAGTAAACTCCAAGGAATTTTCCCTTATGCTGCCTCATTTAAAAGATTCTACATCCATCAGGCACATCGTGCACATTTAAAAGCATCTTAAATGAGGAGGACACGCGTACAGGACACACTCCAGGGTGCCGAGCTGAGCGGTGACCACCTCCTTGTTGCCCCTCTCCAGCAGGTTCCAGAGGATTTCGGAAGAACGGAACAGGACCTGGCCGGTCGGATCGTGGTCGTTCATGTGGAGACATACCGTCTCTGCTCCTCGTGCGTGGAGTATTGACGAACAGTTCATATCTGTGGTTGTAAAGTGAAACATAGACGTGTGTAACCCAGTAAATAACCCAGTTATTTTAAGGACACTTAAAATCATCATTGTCCGAAAGTCTGATTTATGTTCTTGAGAGCTGGCTACGTTCTCCAATGAAGGAGGTCATCTGCTCCGCCCCTTCCCTCCCTCACTGGCTCTGCATTGAAATAAATGACTGACCAGAGCAGCTGGAGAGGATCTGAAGGATGTGAAGGAGTTGCAGTTTGATGGTGGGCTGGTTTTCGAGAGTGGCCATGGAGAGGAGAAGTGTCTGAGCCAGCTCACTGCGCTCCAGCAGCTGCAGCCTGTAGCCTGGAGAGGTCGGCTGGAGGCCTGAGGAAACAGAGCAGAAACATTATTAAATACAACTATAAATGTTTAAATGCCAGGTTCAACATCAGGGAAGAAACAAGCTAAGAGATCATTATAAGCCATTTAAAGTGGATTTATTAAGGTGATTTCCAGCTCCACGTTTGGACTGTACTGCAGTAGTTTTGTATGACTCACAGTTCAAAATAATTTATCTTGTACTCAGCCATAGTGCAATCCCTCACATCAGCTTCTGTTTAAAGCAAGTAATTTTAGCCCTTTTCCTCTTACCCCAACCTCATCCTGATTGGCTGACCCTCACAAACAGAAGCAGGTGGTGCTTCTATGCTTATATGCAGAGTTGTGCAACTTAGATGAACATATTAGAGTTATCAGCCTTTACAGAGCCAGGAGATGAAAAAAAGGCTTTTGTCAAACATGGATTAATTAATTAATCTCCTCATTACCCAAAACTTTGAAATGTTAAAAATAATCATTAAAAATTCTAAAAGCGTGCATGAAACAGAAATTAAGAAATTAAATTGTCCACTTTAAGGAACAAGACAATTACACTAATAACTAAAGAGGAATCAACATTTAAAAAAGTCATGCCACGGTCAGAAAACCCCCCCCCACAAATTAGATTCAGATGAAAATAAAAATTTGAGTCTCACTAAACATGAGTTTCTGGAACAAATGATGGTCAATTACTTTAATAAAGACTAAACTAACAACAAAAGCCACCTACTTCACACTGGTGATATGCCTCTTGAAAGTCTACCCAAAACACTCTTTTAAATTATCAGAAAAATAACTTACCAATCCTTATTTCAGCCTCATATTTGACAGATTTTATGATCTATTCAACTTGTGCTATCATGTGTTCAAAAACTTTATCTCTTGATCCTGAACAGCCTCATAGGACACTGGGTACGGCTGTAAGCTCATGTACATATCTATATGAAATCTAACCAATTCTAATAAAGAAAACATGAAGAAAACAAATGAAAAGAAAAGAGAAGAAACACAAAGGACAAAGAAAAGCACAAGCATGCCACCACAGACGCCATGACAGAGCCTCACTTAGTGAAAGTCTAGAAAATCGGTTGTTAGAAGGGAAAGTCCGAGGCTTTCGTGTGGTACCATCCGTACCATCGAGCATCTGTTTGGGAGCCACAGAGCTGTAGAATGATTTCACGCATTCAAATATGAGCTGCCTCACTTCGGCATCAGACACTCTCATCAGACACCCTGCCAAGAGAAACACAACTCAGAAGCGCTCCATGTCGTCATTCTCATCTGAAGAACAAAAACTTCAAATGATTAAACATTTCTTAAAATTTAATAATCTATATTTCTGAGTTGTTTTTAAAAATTCACATCTTTAGAGGGAGCTAGCTTGTTTTGAATGTCATGCAGCATGTAAGGTTAACATGCCACAGCAGAAATCTTTCGATCATTAGGTTTGTAAAAATGTGATCATGTATTGCAAACAAGACCATTAAAAACCAACTAAAATAATAAAAATGTTTCAAAATTAGAAGCTGGAATTATGAAATGTTTCACAATTTTGTTTCTGTTTTGAATTTTTAAGATTCTACGATCAAATAATGTTACTTTCTGTCTTTTTGTTTAAAAAAAACCCCAACAACATAATTTGCACCTGTATATAAATGTATTTAAAGCAGCAGTGACTGGCCACTCTGCGAGCCCTTTATTACCCATATGAGAGAGAAACTCTGTGACATCCTGAGCGTAGTGCAGCTCGTCAGATGTCTTCTCCTTCAGAAAGGGAAGCCTGAGACGAAAGACAGCAGCACTCTGATGATCAGATCATCTTGTGAGATAAAATATGAGCTGTTTGCTTGAAAGGGTTTCTTACCTACAAATTGTAAGAGCTTCACACAGAATGGACACATATTCGGGGTGATCTGTCACCTTCTCTGCGCAGATGTTGAGTATTTTTGCGATGGCTGTCAGTTCTTTTAAAAGCTTCAGACAGTTAAAGAAGTTTTTGGCAGATTGTTCACTCATGCAGAGCTAAATACCGATAAGGGAGGGGAGGTGATGGGTCATTGTGATAACTGAGCCTATTTCTGAACACAGAAAATGCTGACAGAAAGAGTGATGCTGTGATAAATTAGAGCCTTGGGACCAATGTTTGGTTTTGTGTTTACATGGTATGAGAGCAGATCTATTTCCATCACTGCAGCAGGGGACCATAATGAGGAAAATTTGACAATCTGCTGCGCTGTGTGACGCATGAGAGGGATTTCTTAGAAAGACAGTCTACAATATGAGAAAAAAAAATGAAAGGATACAAAGCCAATTTGGCTTTTCTTCAGTAGTTTCTTCAGAACAAAAAGGTGCCTTTCCTTCAAGTTAGTCTTTAGTAAAAATAGGGGGATTAAATGCACTATATGTGTAATACAATAGCAGAAAAAAGAGGACTGGCATTCAGGTTTTTAACTTACTGTCAAAGGATCTTCAAGAAGACAAATCACCTTACTGAGATCGAGACTTTTAGCATTAACCTGGAGAGGAATTTAGGTTATAGTTTAGGCTGGGATATAATTTGCAATTTCTGAAATGCTCAGAAAAGTTAGAAACAATTTAACAGCAACACTATTGTGTTCAGCTGTTGATGCTTTAAATACCTGTAAATCAGGCGTTATCACACTCTAACAATGTCATTTACTTTCCCGGTGGAGACATTTCCAAACTGCTCACCTCCTGATGGCGGTGGCTCTTCTGGGATGCTTTCAAACCAATTACAGGGATCCCCGGCTTTCTTCTGTGCACAACTTTTCCCGAATCCATTTGTAAATTTAGAACCGCTTTCTAGCTTCAGTTTTTAAAGGCTAAAATTTAAAAAAATTACACATTCTCCTTTTTTAATACCTGCTGTTTTTGTTTTCGAACAAACGTGCTAACATTAAACGATGCTCAGCCTGAACTTACGTAGCTTTTTAACAATCACCTCTCCTCTTCTTCTCTCCGTTTATATTGCCAGTCTGACAGCGTACTGCCGTTGCTATGGTTACCCTGGCAGTACGGAGAGCGGCAGAGTTAAAAAATCAGAGCGACACGCCCATTTCCTCTTCAAAACCGGAAGTGGTATTCTGGAAACGACAGCGCATTGATTTTCGTCCCCACAACAATAAAATAGAGACAAAACAACGATTAAAAGCAAAAAGGCGTCTCAGAATTTCACTTGGACGTCGAGGGCTTGAAAGAAACCCCGCGGGCAGCCATGCTGTCGGACGCAGGTCAGTGCTAAAGAGGCGCCGCTGCTGCTTGCTAGGTGCTAAAGTGACAGCTGACGTTGTTGGGCAGATTTAAAGAGCTGGCTAATGTGCGCGTCTTTGCTATGTTTACATACCAATTGGCCTCGTGTTTCGGTCGCTTTTTTCAGCTATTTATAACCTGAGTGAATTCTATGTTTTTGCACACGTGTTCTATATGTCATAAATATTTTGTCGACGTTAATAGAGGCCCGAGCTGCACTACACAGTCACTATTATATTGCTGTCATTGGTGTTAAGACTATCCCGGTAATGCTTCTGGTGCACGGAGAGCCAAGAAGAGGAGCTCCGGGGAGTCACCAGGGGACGGACAGACACTGCGCTCCTCAGGAAGGCAGGTCAACGTCCGGGTGAAGCGCACCAACAACCCTCCACCTGGTCAGGTAAGGTACACAATGAGTTAATATAATGACTATATCTCGGTTAAGTTTCAGTTCGCATTCATGCAAAGTAGGGTCACACAAAGGTTTCAGTTTGGTTTTTAATGTTTCCAGGTGTGCAGTTTTAGGTAAATGTTGCTTTTATTATTATACTAGAAGGTTACTTTTCAGGGGGCAGTGTTTAAGCAATTCATCAACAAAGCACTTTTTAAAGCCAGTTGACTGGCAGTGATGTAGACGTAGAAGTCTTAGTCAACATACCACCAACACACCTCATGAAGTTATGAGGATTTGCCCCTTGACCTCTGTTGAGGTTGTTGGGCCACCACTCTCTGGGTCTCTGTCGGGTTCATGCCTACCTGTTCACAGATGTTATCCACCCATAATCTTAATCTGTCTGTTTTGTCTCTGCATTCACTTAACTGCTCCTTGCAGTATGATTTTCACAAGGCCTGAAAAACCAGAGACACTCTCTATACCATCTCAAGTTGCAAAGCAATTATGCAGACCTTTTATACCTGTCACAGGTTTTGGGCATGAGATCTTCCTGTAGCATCTCAATTTATGCTACGATTCTTCTTACGGTTTTGCCGTAAGAAGACACTACTGATACTCAAAAGACAACAGCAGGTAGACTTTGGATCGGAGAGATGTTTTTGTCTCTAGATTCCCGTAACGCTTGCTATGACAGCTGTGTTATCCTTGCCAAAACCTTAGGTTTTGAGCTTTCATTTGATACAGTATGACAGGACCAAGGTACTTGAAATCCTTCATTATTTCTAGTCTTCTCCTGCTAACTTTAACCAAATCCCATAATTTACAGGGAGATTCCTAAGCCCCCTATATAATATGTGCACCACATTGTTCAAATTCAATTTATGCCCATAGTCAGAATATGTATTTCTATATATATTATGTGTTCCTGAAGTCTGTCTCAAAGAAATTACTTTAAAAACCAAGGCTAGTTAGAACTGTCCAGTCAAAGCAACAAGATCCTAGGGTTGAAGCTAGACTACGGCTTTTCCATGTAGTGTTTGTATGTTGGCCTGCATGTGGTTGTCTTGGAGTGTATGTTACGTTAAATTGTGATTGTGAATTGGACATAGGAATGAATGTGAGTCTCATGATATTTCATTTTTCTCTTTGGATTACAGAGCAAAAGAAAAGCCACAGACACAGAGGAAGAAGATGACCAGTCTGAGAAGAAGTACAGAAAATGTGAGAAGGCCGGGTGTTCTGCCATGTACCCTGTTTGTTTTGCAAGCGCATCTGAAAGGTAACATCAGATGTCAGGTAAATCAGATAGTTACTTATATCACTTTTTACAGTTCTCAAACAGCACTTCTTGTCTCTTTTCAGATGTGCTAAAAATGGGTACACGTCACGGTGGTATCATCTGTCATGTGGGGAGCATTTTTGCAATGAGTGTTTTGATCACTACTACAGAAGGTGAGACAAATGCAGGCTAAAGATATCAACAGTGTTTCTGTAGCACTGCTTAAAACACCTCTAAGTTGTTTACAGTGATTTCTGCTACATTAAGTTGAGAAGATGGATATTTTATGGTTTCCATCATCTCAGAAATTTAGTGGCACGCTTCCCTCTCTCGTTTGCAGCAGTCTATTTAATAATAAATGTTAACATACCAGGAAGGCACAAAATTACAGTTACATACAGACAACATTTATAACAGCAAACTGCTCCCTGCAAAAAGAAGCATATTTAAAAGGTGTAAAAGAAAAGAAACTGCAGAACCCTCACCAAACAACTGTTCTGACTGACACGTGGTTTAAAAAGCTCAGAATTTCACATCAATCCACTGACAGTCAGATTAATGCATCATGTAAAGTGTTACAGATGTTGTACTGATTGGCTGCAGTGCTGAGTGAAAAAAATAAACATCTTAATGTACCAGTGGATCTACATTCCTACTCTCTCTAATTAATGCAAGCAAAGAGAAGAAACCGATATGGATACAAGCAATGGAAATGAGTGTCTTCTGAAGAGTATCTGGGCTCTCCCTTAGAGACAGGGTGAGCAGTTTAATCATTCAGGAGCAAGTCAAGACTAGAGCAGGAACCTCTCCACATTGAAAGGAGCCATATGATGTGGTTCAGCATCTGATTGGCACATCTAGGATCTGTTTCACGCTTATCAGACTGGGAGGAGATCCCAGGAAAAATTTAGGACATGCTGGAAAAAGTATGCCCTATGGCTGGTTTGGGAATTCCTTTGTGTCCCCTCAGAAGAACTAGAAGAGGTGGCCTAGTTGAGGGAAATCTAGACGTCAATGAAACTGCTGCTGAAAGGATAATTGGATGGATTGATATTATTATATCTTTTTTTCCCTTCAATGTTCTTTCTAGAAGGGAGGAAACCAGTGTATAACATTTAATCTGAGTTTTTTTTTCTTTCCCCATATCAGTGCTGTTTGATTTTTGCCACTTGCTTTGAGTCATTAAATTATAAGCATGTATCGCTGTATACAAACAAACCTGAAACAGCCGTGGGTTCAGTGACATTACTTTTGAAATAATCTTGTCACATGTTCCTCAGACCTATTTACATTGTTTCTGCACTACCAAACTGTGAAGCTGTGAGTTACTTGTCAAAATAATTAGAATAACTTTTTTTTTTTGCTCCTTCACTTCAGTCACAAAGACGGCTTTGAGACCTTTGCTTCGTGGAAGAAAGTGTGGACTAGTAATGGGAAAAGTGAGCCCAGTCTTAAAGCTTTCATGGCAGATCAGCAGCTGCCATACTGGGTATGTATAAGAAACTTTTCTGGTTCTAGATACATGTATTAACTGTTCACACATGTAGCTACGTGTCATAAATACTCTCATGTTCATTTCCTTCAGGCTCAATGCACCAAACCCGACTGCAGGAAGTGGCGCCAGCTGACCAAGGAGATCCAGCTCACTGCCTCCTTAGCAGCAGCATACCGCTGTGGGATGAAGTTCAACAACATTAAGGTAAAGAGGGAAAGATATAATCATCGATCCCCATCAAGACAAAAATCTATTTTTCTGATAAAAATCTTGCTCATTTGCCTACAGAGTGAGGAACCCGACCAGTGCTCCCAACCAGAGGACTTGGTAAGCTAGTTGTGTTTGCTAGAATCTGTTTGAGGACAGTGTGTAAACTTTACACGTTACTGCATTTGTTTAATGCTGAGCTGTTTTATTCCTGAAGAGAGTGGCAGAGGTGACGGACAGCTGGTGGCATTCAATGCTCATTTTGCCGCCACTGTTTAAAGACAGCCCAGCCAGCCCTTTCCTCACTGCGTACTACCCCGACTGTGTGGGGATGAGTCCATCAGGTTCTTCTAGCAACATGTCTCTGGGCGAGCTGAGGGCGGATCACTGCAGAGCTGCTCAGCCTCAAAGTAAGTCTGAGTTCAGAAGAAATGCCATATTTAAGCACCTACTATTCACCATGCTATTTTTTTTTTACACATAATTACTGTTTTGTGTCCCCATTGGAGATCCTGATCATTATTATGTCCCTCAGTTCCAGGCTTGTGTCCATACTTCCAGCCCTTCTACCAGCCAAATGAGTGCGGAAAGGCTCTGTGTGTGCGGCCTGATATGATGGAGCTAGATGAGCTTTATGAGTTTCCAGAGTTTTCCCGCGATCCCACCATGTATCTGGCTCTGCGTAACCTTATCCTGGCCTCCTGGCACAAGAACTGTAAGGTACAACAAAGCCAAAAGTGACCACTGGGGTCATTTAAAATCTCAAATAAGGGTGAAAAAGATCACTCGGAATCACCAATGTTTTTTTTAATTACATTTTATTTTAGTGTAGAAAAATATTTTAAATTCAGAGGTGTCATGGGATTTGTCTTTGTACAAATAATAAAACTCAACCAGTTTAATATGTTTAAACTAGGCAATATATAATGCGCATGCGTTCTTTTCACCTTTTCCTACAAAAAAGGCACAGAAATTTCCAAAAGAACAACAAACAAATAAAACAATTAGATTTTCTTTCTGTTTTCCTTCCTGTTTTTGAAGGAGGTGCTGACTTCAGAGAAATGTGCCCAGCACATCATTGTTCGTGGGTTGGTGCGTGTGCGCTGCGTGCAGGAGTTGGACCGAGTGCTCCATTTCATGACCAGGAAGGGTCTCATCAACACCGGTGTGCTGGCAGCAAAACAGCCTCTGCTCCCAGAAACATACTGCTCTGTGAGAACCCTCATCTACACAAGATTATTACGCATCTGTACTGTCATGTGAAGTTTTTATTGTTTTTGCTAGTACTTATTTTCTTATGTTTTTTAGCACCTTGTACATTTTATGATTTTATGCAGAAAAATGTTATCATCATTGGTGCCGGGGCTTCAGGACTGGCTGCTGCACGCCAGCTGCAAAACTTTGGCACTCAGGTAAAGATCCTCATCTCGCCTGGAGTCTCGTTCCATCTCCCCTGATTGTGATCAAATAGTTAATTTTGCATAGGACGTTTCCTGTTTGTATGAGGACCATGAAAACATTTCATTTCTCTGCTGTCTGCCAAGAAGGTTGTGTTTTTGGTAGTATTTCTGTGCACATCATTCACTCTGTAAACATGATAGCTCTAAAAGTTTTTAATGAATTCTTTATAAGGGTGTAGAGTGGAGTTATGTTAGCAATCCATTAAAATTCAACCTACTTTCACCAAAGCCTTGTAACTTACAAATGATGGTTTTTGTAAGCGTGGTGCGTATTGTCAACATAGAAAGTACCATATAAAGATTTAAAATATCATGTCACATCTGACCTTTGACCTCTCCTTCAATGTCAGTCAATAGATCTGAACGTCAAAGTGATAAACAAGTTATATAGAGTTATATAAAACTATGTTTACTACCATTGTTTGTATTCACAACGTATGGGGAATGACATATGGGGTGTTTTACTGTTTACAAATGCTCAGTTCTTACTAACTGAGGGTATTATGCACACTTGGCGTAGTGTGCCAAGAAAATGTCCTCTGCTCAGAAAAATCCTGCTCACTGCATATTTTCTTTTTCGGGCCCGGTGGTTGTGTGGGGAAAATCCCAGTAGACTGAAAAACACAGACTAGCCCATCAGACACCAACAGCCATGCCACGTTCAAAGTCCCTTAAATCACCTTTCTTATCCATTCTGATCCTTGGTTTAAACTTCAGCAGGTCGTCTTGATCATGTCTACATGCTTAATTGCATTGGGTTTTACCATGTGATTGGCTGAGTAGATATTTGCATCAATAAGCAGTTGAACAGGTGTACCTAATGAATTGTTCTGTGAGCGTATTTCACCCTGATGAGTTTTACATACTCTTCGTTTGTTTGGGCTTACAGGTGGTGGTGCTCGAGGCGAGAGACAGAATAGGTGGTCGGGTGTGGGATGATGCCTCTCTGGGTGTCACTGTGGGTCGAGGAGCTCAAATCGTTAATGGCTGTGTAAACAACCCCATTGCCCTGATGTGTGAACAGGTAAGAATGAATGTGCTGAAATTCACCTATTTCTGATAAATCTTAAGTCAGAGCTTTGCAAAAGTTTCAGTTTTAATGCCAAAATATTTTTAAACCCCTATTCCTTTTTGTAATGAATACAGAAATGCAGCTTCAGTGTTGCATTATTGAAAGGACAGGTTACAGGACACTTTGGGACTCTCCAAGTTCATACTCTTAGAAGTTAATATTTTGAGACTGTGCCACCTGTGTTCAGTCTTCTTTACCTGCCATGGTGAACCTAGGGTTGAGATATGCTGATCATAGTTTTGTTTGTTTTGTTGTATATATTTAAGTTTAGCTGGAAGTCCTTTTTACAGACTTGTCCATGCTCACAGTACATAGACATGCATTGTTTTTATTTAGCCCCGCTGTGCTCTCTAGTTTTGGAACCACTGTTCCACTGTCTGTAATTTTTTTTTTTTTTTTTTTAAAATGCATATTAAATTTGATAAATAAAAAAACACTACTATTAGGTACCCTTTTGTGACTTCTCTCCTGTAGTTGGGCATCAAGATGCACAAGCTCGGAGAGCGATGTGACCTCTTTCAGGAGGGAGGGCAGGTCACTGACCCTGCCATCGACAAGCGCATGGACTTCCACTTTAATGCCATCCTGGATGTGGTGTCAGAATGGAGGAAGGACAAGTCGCAGAACCAGGACACAGCACTGGGAGGTGCTGTCATCATGTGTTTCACTGAAGCTCCTTTTGCTTAATTCTTTTTGATGAGAATTCCCAATGAGAGAAGAAAAGTCTCACAAAGCTACTCTTGCCTCATCACGTTTGGGTCATAATCTTAGAAAATATTTCTTAGTGTTTGCAATTATCAGCCAATAATTACGCTGCAGTCAGGACTTTGAACTCTGTGTATAAAATACTGATGTCATGGCTGTTTTATTAAGAAGTAGTTCTAAAATCATAGACTGTTTATAAAAGATGGCCATAACCACTATGACACTTGTGAGTGAGGTCCAGCTGCTCACCCTAAAACACACCCTGCTTTTTTTGTCAGTTTGATTTTAATAGGAACCATAAATTATTAAATGAATATTGTGTTAAATAAGCCTAGAAACTAGCAAATAAGATCAGAAAATCATCAGAGAAGTGTTTGCTAAGATCACAGATCAACCAACTTGTAGGATCATATTTCCTAAGACTTCTTCTGTGCAAGTCCTTTTTTAAACTAAATGAGTCGCCCCCTGCTGGCCAATACAATGCATGGTTAACTTTCACATTGGCTTCATGTTTCAGATGATCTTTCATATTCTGGAGGAGTGCTCCTCAGCAAAGCTCCTGTACAGAAACAGGAAATATTTGTGTCTGTGGCATTTTCTCGTTACAGAAAAAGTCCAAGAAGTTAAGAAGAACTTTCTCCAGGAGTCTGGGATGCAATTCAGTGAGCTGGAGGAGAAGGTGCTTCAGTTTCACCTCAGCAACCTGGAGTTTGCCTGTGGAAGCACATTAGACCAGGTCTGGAAACTAAACTTAAAAAGAGCTTTTCAGATTTATTTTGTTGTAATTTTTTATGAGTTTAACAGAAAGGTCAGGCTGGGGGTTTATTATGATGAAAACTGTAACTTCCCGCATCGGAAATTATTCACGCTCTGAGATGACTAATATGAATTAGTCTGTTTGAGGTGTGAGGTTTGTTTTTTATTTTTAGTGGAAAGTCTTTCAGTGTTTCTGATCCCTTAAGAAAGACATTTTAAGGTGAATGTAGTCAAACATATTGTGGGGTGTGTGTTTTTTTTTTTTGTTTTTTTTTGTTTTTTTAAATTTGTGAGGATTTATGTAAATTGTATTGGATTATAGCACTGGGACTGAAAGTGAATTTTTTTCTGGCTGTTTCTGTAGGTATCGGCAAGATCCTGGGACCACAATGAATTTTTTGCCCAATTCTCAGGAGACCACACTTTACTTACCAAGGGCTACTCTGTTTTACTCTACAAACTGGCCGAGGGCCTCGACATCCACACAAAGTGTCCGGTCTGTATTCCAGTTTTTTAAACTCTATAGTTTACCTTGAATCCACCTGTATTACATTCCTGAAGTCTTATGCTTATTAGATAAGTTTATTTTTTAAAAATTGTAGGTTCAGGCCATTGATTACTCAGGTGACGTTGTCAAAGTTACCTCCTCTGATGGGTCGCAGTGGACAGCACAGAAGGTAAAAACATCTTTGCTGTGATACTGTACAGTTTCTGTTATCTAAATACAGAATCTTATGATCTCAGTTAATCTTTTAGTTACTCTAACAGCCTAATGTCATCTTTCAGGTCCTTGTTACAGTTCCTTTGACTTTGCTTCAGAGGAACCTGATTCAATTCAACCCTCCACTTCCTGAAAGGAAATTGAAGGCGATCCACAGTCTGGGGGCGGGTATAATAGAAAAGGTCATTAAAGTTCAACTAACCTGTGCTGCAGTAGAATAAAAAGGATGATGAAGTTGCTTCCCGGTAGTTGCTCATATTTACTCTTTGTTCTGTGTGCAGATCTCGCTTCAGTTCCCGTACAGATTCTGGGACAAAAAAATCCAAGGAGCAGACTACTTCGGTCACATCCCACCAGGTCTTGAAAAGAGAGGCATGTTCAGTGTCTTCTATGACCTGGATCCACAGGTGTGTTTTTGTTCTTGTGTTGAGCGGTTTGGAGACAAGGTTAGAGAGGCAAAGCTAAGGTGGTTTGGACATGTGCAGATGAAGGAGAGTGAATGTATTGGACAAAGATGGTGAAGATGGAGATGACAGGCAGGAGGAAAGGATGAAGAGTAAAGAAATGGTTCGTGTATGCAGTGAAGGAGGACATGCAAAGCGTAGGCGCAATAGAAGAGGATGCTAGAAATGGGGTAAGATGGTGGCAGATGATCGACAAATCAGAGAAACAGCCAAACGAATAAGAAGTTTATCCACGTGGCCCAAAGTTAGAGCCGCTGGTGTTAGGCTGCAAAATTGTATTTATATTTAAATTGGCAAATGTTGTAGAAAAAGATGGAGGAGATTAATACAGAATCTAATGGTTTAAATGTGTGTTTGTGTAGAGGAAGCAGGCTGTGCTGATGTCTATTATCAGTGGTGATGCTGTTTCTTCTGTGCGGGACATGGAGGACAAAGAGGTGGTCGATGAGTGCATGAGGGTACTGCGGGAACTTTTCAAAGAGCAGGTAATCCTCCTACTTCTCCTAAAATCTTTCAGGAGTTATACTTAGAAGTTTGAGAATAATAAAGAAATAATAGGAGTATTTAAAAAAAAAAAAAAAACTAAAAAAAACCAACAACCAAAAATCATATTTTTGAAATGAGAGAGAACTCCGTCTGAAATTTGTTATATGATATTACCAGAAACCTTCCAAGAAAGTTAATTTGGATTCAATGTGTTATACCTGGGGAAACATCACATTGAAGTAAGATCCTCTGTCAGAGATTAAAATATTTAAGGACTCCAAACATCCATCAATCAATATTCATAGACTCATTGTGTCAGATATTTACACAAAACAACTAAACAACTTACCTTTTGATATTTATTCTTTTTATTTTTTTTAAGATACAGGAATTAAAAAAAAAAAAGTTCTGTAAATTATATTACTACAAGGGCAGAAAGAACACCTCTACCTACAGCCATTAAAATATATTTTGGACAATGCTGACTTGAAATTTTGTATATCTCCTAATCAGAGGTGTATTATTTTCCCCTGGATTCCTGTTTTTTCATTTTTTTATTGTATTTATTTTTTTAGTTCCCAGTGCTCTCATTTAAGTTCAGATTTATATATGCATGTATTTAGGAGGTTCCTGAGCCAATGAATTTCTTCATCACTCATTGGAGCAAAGACATCTGGTCCCAGATGTCCTACAGCTTTGTGAAGACGGGGGGCAGCGGAGAGGCCTACGACGTTCTCGCTGAAGACGTGCAGGGAAAGGTGTTTTTTGCTGGCGAGGTAACATTTTTCTAATTTTTACCAAATGAGTCCAGAAACGTCAGGTTTTATGAAGTGCTACTGAGGCATTTATTTCATTTCTATTTTACATAAATGTGTTTTGCATTAACACGATCCTGCTGTGGCTGTATGTATCACACTAACTTTGCATTCTTAATTTTTGTTGTAGAAATTGAGTCGCACAAGGCCTGTAATAGTGAGCCGCCTCATGTTTCAGTTATTTTTACAGGAATCATTTTAAATATTCGTTTTAGAGTCTGACTGAACGTTGACAGAAGTCATCCACCTTGAGGTTGACGGTCTGGAAACTCAGCTCCAAACATCATTAAGCAGCCTTTTGTGTTACTGCTTGTTTCCCTAAATCTCTTCTACAAAGGCAAGAGTGCAAAATTTATGTGAGCCACAGACATTCTACATTTAATCACACTATCTCTGGCATCTCTTTTTCAATCCAGCAGGTTGAGGGGGCGAAAATTAAATGATATTCGAGTCTTCTGTAGATGATGTCCAACAAAGATTTCTATTCAAAGATAACTTTTCTGATGTTCTAGAGCTGTTCTAGAGTCTTCCAGTAAGCTGCTCTGCTCAATAAGAATGATTCTGGAGCAGCAGTCAGGCCTCGCATCCTTCTCTCCTGTTGTTTTCCTGCTCTGACAAATTAAAATGTCTCCTGCTGTGGAAATGGTCCCTATACACTTAAGGCCACTGTGTTAGGTACACCTTTTCAAATGCTTATTAATGCAAATATCTAATCGGCAAAACACATGGAAGCAGCTCAGTGCGTTTTGGAAAGTAGAGATGGGCAAGATGACCTGCTGAAGCTCGAACTGAGCATCAGAATGGGGAAAGAAGAAGATTTGAGAGAATTTGACTGTAGCATGGTTGTTGGTGCCAGACAGGATGGTCTGAGTATTTTCATAGCTACTGAGATTTTCCCACACAACCATGTATATGGTTTATGAAGAATGCAATTCTCTGAGCAAAAATGTCTTATTGAGGTCAGAGGAAAATGGCCAGACTGCTTTGAGCTGTTACTAAGGTAACAGCAACTCAAATAACCACCCAATTGTACTGAAGCTAAGCAGAAGAGCACCTTTGAATGCAAAACATGCCAAACCTTGAAGCAGATGGGCTACAGCAGCAGAAGACCACACAGGAACAGGAAACTGAAGCTACAATTCTCATAGGCTCACCAAAACTAGACAACAAAAAGTTGGAATTGTGTTGTCTGGTCTGATAAGTCTCTATTTCTGCTGTGACACTTGGATGGAAGGGTCAGAATTTGCGATTGATAACATGAAAGCATGGATCCATTCTGCTTTGTATCACAGGTACAAGCTGCTGGTATAAGAAGGTACGGGTGTTTTCTGGACCTCCTGATTATTGTTTATATTCTATAGCCTATCTAACCTCTCTGAATACCAAAAGGAGGTCCAACACAGTATTAAGAAGATGTAGCTAACAAAGTGGCCATGAGTGTATATGGGTATTTTTAAACTAGCTCTCTGTGTCTGTGAAATGTGCTTTTAATGCATTTTGTCCCTTATATCAGGCAACCAACAGACACTTTCCTCAGACTGTGACGGGAGCCTACCTCAGTGGCGTCAGAGAGGCCAGCAAGATGGCCGCTATGTAACCTGTCACTCCCAGAGCACTCATAAACACCAGCACGGACTCACGGGTTGCACCGAACAACAGACCATTAATAAAGTCGGACTGTGTTGTCTCATTTGCTCCACTTGAAACACTGATTTGCTGTACTGTAATGTATCGGATCAGCAAAGTGTCGTGAATGATTTTTCAGTAGTGGGGTTAGCCAGGGCCTGGTTCGACATATCTAACAAGTGCTTTTTATTTATATCAAAATCCAACAGGTAACATGTTTGTGACAAGATGCAAAAAAAGAAAAACAAAATTATGAGGAAGTCTCCATAGCCCCTAAGTAGCTCTGCCTAACTCTGCTGTGCTGGAAAGGAGGATGGTATTTTGTTTTAATGATATTTGTTTTTAGCAATGCATGAAACATTGGAAAATCTGAGTGATCTGATCATAAACTTAACCGAATATAATTTAACCTCCAATCATCAGGTTTTAAGTGATTATAGGATATATATGTAACATGTCTTCTTTGAGAATTACCAATGTTTTCTACAACTGTAGTGATTTGACTCGTTCTATTTGTGAGTCACGTGTTGCTATAAATGGTGAAGTTGAATGGATGAAAGGATATATATATATATGTAATACAAGTACCTCTACAGTAGCTCTTTATTTAAATCAACAGCAGCAAAATGAAAAAAAATCACCTGTGAAAAATTGAATGACCCTTTGAGCTAAGGTTGATCACCTGGTTGTCCCCATATTTTCTCAGGGATGCGTTCAGGACACTTTTCACCCATCAAACTAAACCTAATGAGTCATAGAGTAAAATTATAAGAACTGACAGTTTTAAAGGCAGTTTTTGTGAAGAAAAACCGCAACTAACCAAAGTATTAAAACTCCACACTGCTCTTGTATTTATTCTTGAACAGTTAATTTCCTGAGGATTGTTGAGCAGCACAGACTCTTCTCACTTTTTTTTTTTTTAATTAATATTGACTGATTTGTCATTAGGTTCATATCATTGTCTAGATCAGCACATTTACAGCATGTGGTCATGTCCTGTTTGTCATTATTGTGCTCTAGTATTTATCTTGTATGTGTGTAATAAACTGAGCTACCAACTGCCACAGTAATCACGTTTACTCGTGGATAATTTTTTTTTCCTGCTTAAGTCATACTAAGATCAGAATCGTACAGAAACTACACAAATGTTTTGGGTTCCTCCTCATTGCTTTATATTTTGCTTCCAAGGAGACCGACTTTCTTCCAAACTTTTAAAGGTGTTGAGTAGTAGTTCTCCAGACTTTAAAATTTTTTTCTTTGGGCATTGGCTGCTTGTTTCACTTTTTTCAGTCCCTATATTTGTCCATTTTCAGAGGAATGTTTTGTTTATTGAACCACTAAATAATCTGAACAATTATGAATTATTCTTCATATAAATTTTACATTAATAAAAAATAACTACGTTTATTTTGAGCAAACATCGAGTAGTCTTACTGCTCCTTAAAAGGTTAGTCGACTATGTCCCAAAAAAGTAAGTAATATTAAATAAATAAATAATATTTTATTAATAGTAAAAATAACAAATGACGGAATGAAGACTGAATTTCTCTCACAGATGTTTTCTTTTTATTTCAAATCCAGAATTCCTTCTGCGCCATGTCTGACTCTGGTTTAGATTAGTTGCTAGGTTTTGTTGCGAGGCAACCGTGGAGCCAGTAGACGAATGACGTTAATAAGCGTCATCAATGCGAGCCCAAGTGTTTTCCCTCCCCAAACTAAAGCGGAAGTAAACAAATCAAACATGAGCTGGGACCGTATTACACCCGTTATTGCAAAATCTGCTTGTTAAACTGTAGCTTTAGATTGCGGGTCGGTTCTGTTAATATCGGCTCATAAATACATCCTAGAGGCAGCTGAAACAAACCGCCACCTTCAACCCACAGCGAAAACCGAGTAACAGTAAAATCAAGTTGGCGCGTTTTTACTGCGGATGAAGAGCAATATTTGCTTACACTGACCAACATAATGGACTGTAGCACCGCTGACCTGCACGCTAACGTGGCACACGACTCTGCAGGTAGCCGGATGCTGTTCTTAATTTTACCTGAAGAGGCAAACATGTTATTGAACTGCGCAGCTAACTGCTAACTTAGCTTATAACTTCGCGGTAATGCACCCACGCCACTGCTGATAGCTTGATTTAAAAGCGTTAATCATGGAAAAGTTTAACCTGATTTAATTCAGTAATTATGTTTTTAACGGTGTGTATGGTTTGATCAGAGATTTTTGCAAAACATCACTTTTGCACACAAGACGTACTTCTGGTATTAATGATAAAACTGTGATGGATAATGGAAACTTAGCTAAACACTACACTCTTCTCCTCATACTATAGTTATTGCACGTGTAACTAGACCACATTCACGTGTACGTTTTGCTTTTGACTTTGGAGATTTTAAATTCATATAAGAAAATATGTTCCTTTATAGTAATACATAATTAAATCCCCAATATTTGATCAATGATAAGTCTAGCTAAGATTAGCTCAGTGTGGACCAGATACATCATTGAGTGGCTGTATATTCATAGGTTATTATCAGGAATGTATTCAAAGGGAAAGAAAGGACAGAATACTAGAGATGCTAGGCATCAGAAAAAGATGGCATGGGAAAGCTCAAAGTGAGTTTTGTATGCAACTCGACACTACGGATGGAGAAAATAGGCCGGGGTGAGTAGTAAGGAGTAACTGAGGGCATCTATGAAGAGAATGAAGGGTGGGGAGAGATGAAGACATGACATACCTATGGAAGTATGGAGAAGTCTAGGAGAGAATGTCTTTGGAATCAGTATACTTTATTAATCCCCAAGGAAATTATGTGGGTTACAGTTGCTCCAAGACAGTAACAGACTAAACTATTTAAATAATACAATATGTTACAGAGTTTACGAACTTATGAAGTAGCGCTAATATATACAAATTGCGCCCATCACATCACATACACATCACGGATTTTACAGAGGTGATTATAAATATCAAGGATATTGACAAAGAATTTTACAGAGGTGGAATATATATGATTCACATTTAACTCTGTGAATCTGTGAATTTTGTAATTTGCTATTTTACTGTAGAGCGTGTGCAAAAAAGGGTAACTATTATTGCAGTGTTTACAGTGTATTAGGTGGAGGAGTTGTACAGGGAGATGGGCACGACAGGAATGATTTCCTGTGTTGTTCAGTGGTGCTTTTTGGTAATCTCAGTCTCTCACTGAACGTGCTCCCGTGACTACTTGGAGAGTAAGAGGATGCCTGAGGGATGGAAAAGACAGACTGGTACTGATTTTCAAGAATAAGGGAAATGTTCAGTGCTGTAGTAACTACAGAGGGATAGAGTTGATGAGTCATTGTTGAAGCTAGGCTGAGAAGAGAAGTTATGAGGTGACGATCTGTGAGGAGCTGTGCGATTTCTTTCTGAAAAATAATACTACAAACGTGATGTTTTGAGAGTGTTGATGGAGAAGAATATAGAAGGTTTGATGGAGGTGCAGGACATGATGATGGTCATGGTGAGTACAGTGAGATAGTAGTGTAATGGGTGGAGGTATGATTACATTGGGGACTGAGCTGACAATATTAAGATTGTAATGGGGACTAACCAGAATGGATAAGATTAGAAATGAGTACATCAGAGGGGCAGCTCAGGTTGAGCTGTTTGGAGGCAACGTTAGAGAGACAAGGCTGAGATGGTTTGGACATGTGCAGAGGGATATATGTGGATGGATATATTGGAGGAGTTGGTATGATAGAGGAGATTGCTAAGAAAAGGTTGAGATTGAGGTAGATGATCTGCTGTGATGACCCTCAAAAGGGAGCAGCTAGAAGAAGAAAATGATGATGTACTCAGCGTATGATAAGAAAGGGATGTACTGAGCCAATGCATGATAAATGGATATTGCTAAATAAGTTGTCATTTCACAATCATACTGCACCATATGACATACAGTATGATATGGTGCAACTGTGGCACCAATCAAGAAAGTTAAAGATCAACATTGGATTTTTGTATAGAAAGAAACGCTTTTTCTCATCCACTGGGTGTAGCATCGTAGCAGTCTGCAGATTTATATTTTATTTTTATTGTGACATTGTTTATATGAATGATTCTGCATCCAATTTGAAGCCTCTTGAGCCTTGGTATTATTGTGTGCTGGGTATTTTGCAGCTATCTTTGAACATCCTGTTTTATTTATGAACATGTATATTGCGTTCTTCTCTGTCTGTCTAAAGTCTTGTATTTTTTTGTCTTTGTTGAAAAAAAGATCTTGATCTGAGATGACCTGTTCAAATAAAGGAATTAATCGTAATAATAATCAGTGTGTCAAATGAAGGTGAATGCAATAAGAAATCATCATATGAATGCTGTTTTTTTATTAAATCACAAATATGATTTGATTTTTGAAAAGATTTCATATTAAGTAGCTTATCCTTTTTTCTAAAGTAACATTAACTACATTATTACATTTGCTGTACCAAAAATACTGATATTTACAGTTATTTATCCGACTGTGTGTCTGACTAATCAGATGGGAGCTCCAGCAGTGATGAGGACTTAGTGCCTCTATCAAAGCTGCTGATGAGGCAACAGAGTGATGAGAAGGAGTCATGCGACAATACCCGCAGCTTATCCTCCAACTCCAACAATAAATCAAAAAAGGACAAAGGTGATGATAATACCAGCTGTTTTATCAGTAAAAGTGTTTACACTAAATATTTCTCCGACCAATTATTTGATTAAATTTTGCATGTTTATATCTTCTCTCACAGGTTCAGATGGCTCCTCGGATGATGAGCCGCTAGTAAAGATGAAGACAAGCCTTGCACCACCTAAGAAACAAGAGAAAAAGGAAAACACACCACCCAAATCTAACAGCACAAATAACAAGAACACAGGTGACCCCATGCTTTTTTCATTGTTTGTTCTTCTGACTTGTGTATAGAGTGAATGGCTTCACATTTTTGCTTTCTGTGTTTAAATACAGATGAAGACTCTGACAATGAGCCTTTGATAAAAATTGCCAAAATTTCCTTGAAAGCTGTGAAAAAACCTCCCTCAGTTCCAACCAAAAAAGCTGCTGGTAGAAAGAAGAAAGGTGAGATGGCTTTCTCTCCAGTGGACTGGGGTATCGTCAGACATCTGCTATATCAGATACTTACTTTGGGATTCCTTTTCTCACACAGAGTCACTGGGCAAGGACGACAGCTCCGATGATGAGCCTTTGAGTCAAGTTGCCGAGAAACCTCGGTCACGGCACGAGAGAAGAGCAGCTGCTGAAAAAGCAAACCCGGTTACCAAATCCAAAAGAAATGCTGCAAAGAAAAAGGGTTGGTTTGAAAGTTTGAGCTCAACTAAAATGAAAAAATTCCACAAGACCTTTATTGAGTTCAAATAACTTGTTGCTGTTTCGTTTAGTTAAATATACTGAGACGTCCACTGACAGCTCAGATGATGAGCCACTGGCGGCGATAAAGAGGAAGTCATCGAAACATAGAGGTAGGCAAAGTCTTCAGTAGGCTGAGCGCAAGGATTGATTTTAAGCAGGTTTTAACTATAGGTAATTTCGTTTTTAGCCTCTTAAATTTTAAAACAGCGCTTCTTTTGCAGACAGCAGCTCAGATGATGATGTGCCCCTTGTGGACCTCGTTGCCAAGAAAAGGAGGCCAGTGAAGAAAAGCCCAAAGAAGAGCACCGTAACACGAGGGCGAGCATCAAACAAGAGAAAAGGTACTCTCACAGCACTGATGACTTGAACAAAACAAAGAAAAGTTTAAAACATTTTCAATCTTTGTTTTAGCAGAAGTCAGTGATGATAGCTCAGATGAAGAACCGTTGATTAATCTTGTGAAAAAACCTCGTGCTATCAAAAAACCCAAAACAAAGGCTCCCACTCCGAAGAAGAAGAGCACTCCTTCTAGGAGTCCAAGAAAGAAGCCAGGTAAAGACTGACCACACCACTCTGAGATGTCACATTTATAACTTAGAAGTTTGAGTCATTACGTTGAAATCTTCAGCTTTTGATTTGATATACTGTACCTTTATTAGTCCCACAAGGGGAAATTTCATAAGGCTGCCGCAATGGCGGCGCCATCTTACCCTCCGACTATACATACATGACGCAAAACATCACATGGGGAAGACGGTCAGAGAGGTATAACAATGGAAAATGCACCACATGAGGAAAGATAAGGAGAAAAAAATAACTCCCCTCAGACTGAGCTCCAACAGGGAGATCAGTTTGAGAACAGAAAAAAACACCTCTGCACAAAGCACATGAAAAAAAACCCTCTTAATACACCAAAGAAACACATGACAAGCAACAGGGGTGGGTAAAGGGTGAGAGACAGCCGATTTAGACAGTACATCCAGGCCTGCGTGCGCTGGTCTCCTTGATCCACCGTCAGCATCGGAAGGGAATAAGCCTCGAAGGCGTTTGGAAAGGGAGGGGGGATGAGTGTGTGCATATCAGTGTATATGTATGTGTGTGCGTGTCCAGAGTTCAGCTGAGACAGTGCATTCAGAGACTCTGCCATGCAAAATTAATTTATTGTTTTTTAAAATATATTTTTAGCGGTAGAAACAAACTTCCATACTGTAAGTAAGTAAGTAAGTAAACTTTATTTATTAAGCGCTTTTCACAGACAGGTAATCACAAAGCGCTGTGCACAAACATTAAAATATTAAAATAAACAATAAAATCAATAGACATTATATACAATGTAAAAGATCAAATGTAAATAATGTAAAAAAAATATATAAAATATGTAGATCAACAAAAGGCTTTGTTGATTCGTTTGGTGTAGTAACAAACATATGTCTTACAAGCTTCTGAAATATTAAACAATTTGTCACAATTGTTTAATTGGCTTCCTTAATCGGCTGAATATTTGATTTTGAGCTCACATTTTTCACTCTACAGGCATCAGTTTATCAATAAACAAGGAGGACAATTTGTCAACTTTGAATATTAATTTTCTCAAAGCCGTCTAGAGACTGTCTGGAGTCTACTACATAAATTACACAAGTAGACCACACCTAGGAATGTGCTAAAGTCTTAGCCATGGTAACTGACACAAGTGTAAGCATTAGCCATTTGGTGTATTTTAATGTCTTCCCTCTCTGCTGTGCCTCTGATTGGTGGATAATTCTGATGTGTTTTCACAGGAAATGCTTTCTAGTTAACCCGTCAACCTACCAGCGTTTTAGCAGCGAGCACAATCCCATCAGAAATTGAATTAATTATGTTTGTTTTTCACACAACTTCAAATGACACTTGTCTATGAATGCTGCTTCTCTCATGTATTCATGTTGACTTTAAATTAATATTGCTTCTGATTCATCAGGTAACAGTGCAGATGATAAGCCATTGAAGGCAGCTAAGCATCCACAAGTGACCAAAACCCTGACAATCCTACTAGAGAGGTGTGATGCTGGACACGCTGGGGCAGCAGGAAGCCTAAAGAAAGCCAGCAAAGGTATAAACTGCATACCAACTCATTACTAATGCTACAGTAAAATGAAAGTAAATAACAGTTTTCTTATTCATGAAAGGAGAAAAACATGTTGCTGAAAAACCAGAGGAGGAGGATTCGGCCGGTTCAGAAGAATCTTCAGAAGAAGAATAAGTAAATGAAACAAATTTCTCAAAGCGTTGTGAAACATAACGGTCACAGTTAGTGTTCATGTAAAGTTCTTCACTGTGCTTTATCTCACTATTTGTTAATTTATGCGCATTACATTTTTACTCCAGATTTGAGGTGTGGGACCAAATTTTGTGGGTTCCTTAAAGATTTTATGCACTGTCTTTGATGCTTTGTTTTTTAATGTTACGTGCCAATTGTTTGCAGTTTTTGATTCCCATGAGTTTAATTAGTTTTTATTGTTTAAAAAAGAAGAAAACAGTGTAGCTCTCATTGCTGTAAGTTACATTTCACCTTTCAGGCATTTTAGCTTCAAGTACACCCTCAGCATGCAGCTATAAAATTCATTGTGTTGGAATTAAAGTCCTTTCACAAAGAAATTCACATAAGAGTAAGTCACATTTGTTCAGCTTTCAGTGATTCTTTTTTTGTCATTGTTTGTCATGTTAATAACCCAAATCACAAAGGATGCCTTTAGATTTGTCCATCACAGACATTGATTTGTATGCATGGTAATTACAAAAACACCACTTTTTTCTTAGTGATTCTACATTTCAATTTGTCCTAATGAGGTCACCCAGTACAGCTTTCTGTATAGGTCTTACATATAGAGCTGGCATTATTCATTAACCTTTTTTAATTGTATTTTCTTGGCTAACTTGTCCTGTTAGAATATGCTACCTTCAAAAAGTAGAGCTGCAACTAAGTAATTAGTGTTTTGTTTTTAGTGTTTGTTTCAGTGTTTTGAATACTTTTGAAAACCTGGTTTTAAAAAAAAGGGTTACTACAGTTACACAATTTTCTTTTTCCATAAGACTGTTATAGGGTCTGCAACTAGTTAGCTTTATTATTAATTTAAAATGTCTTTATAACAAAAAAATGAATAATAAACACTGAAAAAGATTTTATAAAATTTCCTAAAATAATAAATAAATGGTCAAATTGCTTGTACATAATTTCTTCACATTTTAAAAGGTGCAATTAGATCATTTCTTGCCATTTGTAAAAGAAAAAAGCCCCAAACAAACCCCAAAACAAAACACAATGAAAAACTACTATTAGACTTTTAAAATCTCCAAATAATTGTCTGATTTCTTTTGACTAACTTATAAAGGTGATATTTTTGTTTGATTTTTTTTACACGACCTTTTCCCTTTGTTATTTATTTATCATTTAAATTTAAAATGGCATATTATTTAAAAAAAATTGTAAAAATCTTTATTAATAAACACCCAAACACAAATAAATAAAGCATGTTAAAAAACATTTTGAAGAAAAGTGGAGCATTTAAGTAATACACATAAATAAACAGAAAATAATAAAGGAAATAACTTCTGTACCATAAAGAGTTGCTAACTAGTCAATAAACTTGAAAATTACACAAAAAATTAATGTTACGCTGGTGTCATATGAAAATCTGTAGAAAAAAAATCACTAGTTTTTACTTAAACAATATGTGTTTACATACTTTCATCGATTGTACAAATGGCAACTTGAAAGTTGTTCAAGAAGGTACTTTGAGAAAAGCATCTCAAATTTATATCTGTCCTTGCAACGAATTCTTAAGACAACAGATAAAAAAAATAACTGATTCTATGATTCAGATATTAAAACATGTGCTCACCTTTTTTAATTTTATTAGTGTGTTCAGGTTATCAGGAAAGTAAAATTTGACCTGATAATGAAGGAAATGAAAATTAAATATTTTGGGAATATGTAAAAAACATACATATTTTACAATTATGGTTATCGGAAAAAGCCTATTGCTCTATTTATATGTTTGTTTGTTTTTTAAATATTGTAACTGATTTGTTAAAATGTTTTGGCTGTATTTGCAAATGATTATATTTTCTTTTTGTACTATTCATGTGTTTAGTCCGTTTTGTGCTTAAATATTATTCTCAATAAAAGTATTAAATTTCCCAGTTTTCATTAAGTAAAGGTTTACTCAAAACAAAACAAAAACAACACCCAAGGTACAGAGTATTTGCCAAAGGAAACACTATTAAATATAAACATGTCCTTGTATAAGATTATAATAACTGACAAGAAGCACTTCTAATATATATTTTTAAGAAAGTAAAAGTAATGAAAATGCAAAGAAATACCAATACAGTACTTTAAAAATACATAAATAGATTTTTTTTTAAATGTCAGGTATCAATTTAATGGAAATTTGCTTTAAGAAATAATGCGAAAAAGAACACGTTAATGGCAGTGTTAAAACGTGGTCTGAATACTTTAGAAAGGTAAATGTTATTTATAATCAAAGTTATTTTATTTGTATTTATTTATTTTGCGTTTTGCTGGCGTTTATTTGTCTTAAATTAGACAAATATTCCATCGAGTTTGGTCTGGATTCTTCTTCGCTGCTTTCTGTTGTCATCTGCAACTTCCGCCCAGCAGTAGCGCTAACTTCAGTCCTCCACACAGGCACCACTAAACTAAACTCTGCAGCTGTGCTGCTGTCGTTCTACAAGTTCGCGAAGGATAAAATCTCTTGAGTAAAGTAACGTTTGGAGCCTGTCATCTGCTGAGTTTACCTTAAAGAGCTTATCTTATCGATTTGATCTTAGATTAGCTAACTGCTTTTTAGTTAGCATGCTGCTGCCTCAACACACCAGACAGATCCTCTTGGCTTAATTTGATTTAGTCATGACTGAATTAAGATGCCGGAAATCAGAAACTTTGGAAGGAGATAATGAAGAGGAAGAGAAACAAAAGGAGTCGGAGCTGGAGACCAAACGTAAGTTGAGCTAACTTAGCAGTTTGCTAACTGAACATGAGCTGTGTAGCTTCCAGTGGAGAAACAGTTTAATGTCAGAGCACATTTCTGTGTCGATGCTGTGACAGCCAGTCTCTCTCTGCTCTAGCACCAGATGTTGAACAGGTGAATGGGTCCAGCGCTGCAGCGGCTGATGGCTCGCAGCAGAAAGATGAAGGTGAAGTTAAAGGCGGTCAGCATGAACAGGAAGAATCAAGCAGAGCCCAGTCATGTGTCAAAGCCAAGGGCTTATCTGCATGTAAGTCCATTTCTTACATACCAGCCCACTTCATACGCTGCTCAGTGGCGTTTAAAAAACAAACAATTTGATGGTCAGGTTCATGCTGTACATTAATGGGGACCTATTATGCTTCCATGAAGTGATCCCCGTGAGACAAAAGCTTTAGTCTGCTGTAGATGCTCTGTTTCAGACAGTTTTTCTGCATTTGTAGCTCTGAATGATGTCAGTAAGAACATCTCAGGCGTGGAAGCTCCACCCACCTGCTGTCAGCCAGTCAGGGGGAGGAGAAGATGTGAATCATGCAAAGCCTTGTAGTTTAGTAGTTGTACTTTCAAATTAAGTAAAAAAAAAAAAAAAAAGCTACATAAATGCATGTTTATGTATGTCATATTTTGGTGGCTCCATAGTGTAGTGTTTGCAATTTCAGAAGGAATAGCATTGAGTGTAAAAACTCGAAGCCTCAGCTTATTTATGTGTTATTATGTTGGCATGTATGATTAAAGACATGAAATGACCGATTTAAATTTTCTACCTCCATTATTATTATTATTATTATTATTATTATTATTATCCTTTATGCGCTTTTATTGCATATCAGAAACACTGAAGAAAGCCATTGGATGAAACACATCTCTTAATTTTTACTGTCATGCAAAATTAAAAATATTCTTTACATACTTGTGAGTGCTGACCTTCTCATTAATAGAGCTGTTTGATGTGCAGAGACACAGTTCGGCAAATGTGCCATGGGCGAGTTAAGGAAGTAGCCAGGGCAAGGTTGAGCAAGTTCTTTTTGGGCAAAGTACACTAATCGAGTTCCAGCTATGAAAGTTAGCTGGTTAGGTAAATAACAAATCAGTGAAGACAGCGCCACATAACGAATCCACAAAATACATAAAATCTTTAACCTAATTTTGCTCTGCAAGCAAGCTTTTCAGGAATGCTTGTGCCGTTCAAAAATAGTGAGAGAATGAAAGAGTGAACAGTTGAGATGCTGAGACAAACTGAAGCGCTGGGGCCCGAAACATTAAGGGAAGTGTGAGGAGGAAGGGGGCTCTGTGCTCAAACATGGTAAAAGGCAACCGAGCCTACTGTGAGCACACCCTTAGAAAGCTTAGTAAATGTTAGACGCTGTAGGAGAGTAATTGAAAATGCTTCAAATACAGATAAGAGAGGTATCAAAAGTACAACCAGGTGCTGAAACACATGCCATGGTGACTCAGTGAAGTAACAGAAGTCGACTGTCCTGCAGTGGTGTTGGATCAAATGTACTAAAACATATGTCTCGACTTCATGAGTCATGAAATATTGCATCTGTGGCTTCCAGTAAACACTGAAATTGCAGTTAAGTGTATTTTTCCATCTCGCAGAATTTTTGTACATACGTCACCAAATTTGTATGTACTGTAAGATTTTTAGACATCTCTGAAGAAGTTTTGTTTTTTTTGCACGTGTTGCAATGTGTAGGAGACTAAATATAAAATGTCTCTGGCTGTACTTTGGTGGCAGGTGTAATGTTATTTTTTGTGTTATTTTTGTCATAGTAGTATATATGATATTGATCTCTCTGTTCAGCTCAGTTTGCAGCTACAAAGAGAAATAGTGTGTGGTAGAAAATGGTTATTTAAAGTGTGTGAGTCAAAAATCTTTCCTCTCACATTTAAGACCTACAGAAGCTTTTTTTGTTGATGATGTTGTTTTTTACTGTTAATGCTTCTTCTCCTCAGCTGTTTTCTTACAGCGGCTAGTCCGGGTGTTCTTTGGATGTCTGGCATCTGTTGCCTGTGGCATGCTGTATGCAGTGTATCTGTCCACATATCATGACAGGAAGTTCTGGTTTTCAACTCGACAGGTGGGTGACTTTTTTTTTCTTTTCCTTTTTTATCTTTACTTTGCTGCCCAATCGTACGAGCTCTAAAATTTACTTTGTATATTTCTAAGGAGCTGGAACGGGAAATCACTTTCCAGGGAGGCAGTGGGGTCTATTATTACTACTACAAGCGTTTGATCGCAGCATCATCCTTTGAGCGAGGTACGAGCACACTGCCTGCTTCATGAAAGGCTTAGCGAATTTTCAATATTTTTTCCAGATTTTTATTCTTGGACTCTATTATAGAGTAGATTTATAGGATTCAGAGTTTAAAATAGTCCACAGATAGCACAGATAATGACTTTAATGTTCTGCTTTCCTTATGACTCAGCTCTGTTGTTTTG